CCATGGTTCAGCTACGATTTCCATTTAAAAAATTATAACTGGGTCATAACTCCGGAATCTTAAGACCTACTAAAAATCTAATACCGGCATTCAATTCTACGCCAAAGAGCAGTTTTCACTTTAACTCTAACTTATTTAACAGCTGAGATACAGACATGTTCAAAAGTGAATAACGAGAAACGCACTGTAACTCAGAAACAAATGAAGATAGCAAATTTCCGATCTGACAGTCGAGTTTGCCATGAAAATCGAGCTCGAGAACGTGGTGTCAGATTTATCATATTTTTAGTAGTTTCTGAGATACCCTGAAATCCCATCGAAAATGGACCAGCTTGTACACATGAAACATTGAAACGGCGAAACAAAAACAAATCGGGCGAGGTTCGTTCAACCACGCCACCTCAGAGGCATACTTAAAATGTGAGTCAATGTCAAATGATTTATTAATATCAGCTCCGCGCGGTAGGGACGTGTTTTTTCGGAGCGACGACGCCCGGTAAACATTAGTAAAAATCGCGCGACGAGCGACGTGCTTGGAAAAACGACCCGCGATCACGTCCAGGTGGAAGCCCCGACCGCGCCGGGTCGTGACTCCCACGAGCTGTTGTTGGGAGGCAACGCGTCGAGGGCAAGTTTGGAAAATACAGAACGTTTCGAGAAAAATAACCATAACTATTTTGTGTCGCACTGTATGTCATTTTTGACTAAACATACCTATTCTTCATTCAGTTTTACGTACAAAAGGTACTCTTAGTATTTGTCACTGAAAGCAGCCGTTTTGTAAAAAAAACGGGTTTAAAGTTAAACTTGCGATGGAGTCTTGTAAGTTGAATTATTAATTTTTTGAAAAACAAGTAAAAAAATGTGTCTTTTATTGATTGTATTGCTATGTGACAAACTTGGATCATTTATAAGACTAAAACTAAACTAGTTCTACAAATAAGTTAATAACATTTACAATAATTGCTGAAACAAAATTTTTATTTTGGACACTCAAGAACCAAGCTCATATGAACTTTTTGTTTTAAAGTTAGTCAAAGATTCACCGTTTCCGAGATACAGTGTTTAAATTTTAATTTTTAATTTATTTTTATTAATTATTTCAAAGAGTTTTAATAGTATTGACTCGTTTGATGGGTGTATTTGACACATTGACAGCAACCTACTAGATAATGTTTACAGTAGAAATTAAAAATACACAACTTGCAATAAAATATGTTTTATTTTTTTCCCTCAAAAACGATGCATCGTACGAAAAAAATTGTAGAGACCAATTTCATTCAGAATGGATGGCGGATTTCTAAAAAAATTAAATCAGGAAAAAGTCAGTGGCGTACCATTTTATTTATTTTTTAATTAAAAAAGGTTGCGTCATTCTCGCACGAACGTCACTGGTGCAAGTAGAAATATTCGGATCACCCCAAAAAAATGCACATTTATCCCTAAAAAGCGTTTTTCAAATTTCCAGTCAATATCTTTAAAACTCTTTGAAATAGTTAATAAAAATAAATAAAAAAATTAAATGTAAACACTCTGAAACGAAGCATATTTCGACCTACATTTATATGAACTTTTTTTCATAAAATAACTTGGGCAACCATCCCCTAAAATATTTCGCACTTATTTATAAACACCCTGTATGTAAACCAGCTAATTCAGATGAGCGAAAATCATAAGAAGCGCAATGTAGACCCTTGTTTTGAAACTTTCGCCTGCTGAGTATTGTAAACAGATATATATTTTAAAAAATTACGGTTTGGAGAGATTTATCTCTGTGGTATGGATAGAATGAATATAAATGCATGGGCGTAGCCAGGGGTTTTCCTAGGGTGGTCGAGAGCCAGGTTAATGGACATGTGAAACCATGACCATTTATGGTTAAACCGAGGAATTTAGTGCAAAAGATTCTACCCAACGTCCAAAAGCAATCGGTGGCCTAAAATAATTCAATCTGACTGTTTTACAGTAAACGCCGGAATTTATCTAAACAAATAAATGACATATTTATTTTTGTATAAATTTTAATATTAGTCAAAACTATGAACAAATGTCCATTAACAATAATGTTATTTTTGCAACTTTCAGCAAGTGGGGGGGGGGGAGGAGGGGCTGTATGTGCCCGCTATATATACATGTATCGCACGTCCTAAAGAGGAGCGATATTGCTGAAAACACTATGAAAATTCTATTTTTAGATTAACGTTAAATATTGCAAGGATCAGTTAAGAAAAGAATTCGAACGCTTTTTGCTTGTAGTGTAAAAATAACTTCAATTATCTTTTGTTTTTAAATTTTCGTTAATTTAATCAAATTTTTGAGCAGTAATGTTTTTTGTCATTGTTAGCGGAAACAGGAAGTTGATTTTACAGGACGATTATTAATTTTTTTTAACAACCAAAGTACACAAGTAGTATCTAAACCGGTTAGGCATAAAGTTAATTTGTGCTTGTATCAAAAGCTAAAATTGTCAACAAAGTAAAAAGCAACAAGCAGTTTAGAATTTTTTACAATACACAAAATACATACAGTAATGCAAATTGTGTGTTTTTCTAAAAGTTTTGAGTTTTTCATGTCTATTAATATTTATAAACACGCAAGGGGTACAATCTTAAGTAAAATGTGGAAACGAGACATGCAGGTCTTTCTGTAGCAGCTGTTTGTATGTACGTGTTGGTTGTCCACAGTGATGTTAGAACAAAAGAATACTCAATATTTGAACGATTATTCGACTTCATTAATAACAGAGCGTAGTAAATATTCGCTACTTCCATTCCGCCTTTCACTACTGCGTGACGGTAACCATGACCACCGCTGTAAACACTTTACAGATTTAAGAGCGAGCTCACGAGGGGCTCACGTAATCAGTGTTTTTCAAATAAATTTTGCACATTACAAATAGAACATATGCTTTTTAATCTATTAAATTATCCAGGTAACATTGTAAACTAAATGTTAAATTAATTTTTTTTCCTAACAATTTACAATTTTTAGTATGTAATTTGCATTTTATTTACAGTTCTAAATCACCGATTATTATAATTATTGCTGTTTATTTCCTGATTCTAAAAATTGACTCGATAATCTGGGATACATAATAATAATTGTCCACCTGTCACCATGCAATCTTGACAACCTTGGGGCACCTCAGTCCGTAGGTTGGAAGCAGAGCACCTTCAGCAATGCCTAAGTCACGGAAGGTTGTCCACGCGCCAGATACTGATTACTTTAATGATTGCTTATTAATTCGCGATCACCTTATCCATGTTTGTGCGCTGAAGGTAAACAGAGGTGTAACGGGTCGCTTCGATGATTGAAGGGGTTGTTTCAATAGACCCTTTTAATGTGACGTCACATATTTAGTCAACCCACAACAAAATGTCATAATTGAAATTGTACAGACCCTTATTTACGTAGAAAATGAACAACTTCAAATTAATTTATTACAAGGATTTAGAAGTACTCGTATTTAAGAACTAACACGTGTTTGGTAAAATAGATACACTACCTAATGTGCTTAACACTTGCAAAAAAACGATATAAAAGAATATTCCTAAATTTAAATAAAGTAAAAATTTAACATTAGCCGTGTTATTCCTAATGCGCATGCTCGGAAATAATAGCCTCATACGCAGGTGAGATCTTGTTGATATGTCATCTCTGTCATTATTAGCGTATTTTCTCTTCCTTTGTTTAATCTTGACATTTTCTAGTTCTACTAAGTATTTTTTATTATTTTTCTTGTATCAGTGTGTTTATCGAGTGTTTTTTTTTCTTCAAGAGGTCTATTATAGACGTACTCTTAACTATAACCAAACTTTTCTTGTATGATATCCTGTTGCGAGGGTATTTCGCTTACATGAAATTATCTTTAATACGCATGCTCAGTAACATTGATATAATTTTAATTTATTAATTACTATAAAAGTCAATATTGTTCTATAAATTTAATTATATAAATTCTATAATTCTTTTCTTAAATATTTCTAATATTGCTATTACTGTGTCACGGACCAGCTGTTTCCTTATCGCTGTGTAACAATCTAAAATGAGTCTTTGACTTCTTTGAAGTCCATGTAACAATTCTTCACTGAGCTACTTGCGTTTCGGCTCCCAATTTTCATCCTTTAGCAGCAATCGCTGTTACTTAACTTTGATGTTTAGTTGTTTCCATGTAGCACTTTGATTGTATTCAATATTGCCGCTGTCACAAAGAAGTATTGTTACATTGGTCAAGTTTTGTTATATCTACCTGAAATTTTTGAAAATCTTTTCAGGTATCTACAAAGTATGTTCCATCGAAAAGAAGTTTATTGATGGTTCATACAAATTGGTAGACCCATTCTACGCATTTAATCATTTAATCTTCATTTACATTACTCCAATCAAATTAGATTTTTTCGTGCCAAGATTTAAACCCGATGTTAATTGATAAACAAATGTATTAGTTATTGGAAAAAAATGGATAAAAAGTGTATTTTTGTAACTTCTTTAAAACGGAAAAAGATTTTTTTGCGAAACTTTCCAAATATGTAGTCCTCAGCAAGTAGAATAATTGCATTTTTGTAAAATTGCCAAATATTTTATAGTTTTTGCAAAAATTGAGTTTGTCGAAAAAAAATATTTTACGAGGCCCAACAAAAATGCGATTTTTAGCCGTTTTTTTGCAGTAACTAATACATTTGTTTATCGATTGACATCGGGCTCACAATTTTTTGTTATAAAAAGTTCTACAACGGTCTGACATTTTTTTTAAAATGTTTAGTTTTTTTTTTAATGAAAAAAGCTGTTTTCTGCAAACTTTGGACGACGTTTTGAAAAATAAAGGCCTGACATTCAGCTGTGGTAAAGTAGTTCGCTCAATTCTACGGAATTTTGCCTAATTTTTACGTGTCTGTGTTTACTGACCTAAATTTTGCAAAAAAACGAGATATTTTCGACAATTTGACTGGCCTACATGTCACTTTGCACCACTTGTTGAGTATTTTTATTTTTTTTTACAGAGTTGCAGTGCAGCATGTCCAGCCAAGTAAAGTACCGCGTGAACGCGTACTGGGGCGTAAACATAAGGGAGCTGCACATCTTCCTGTGGAGGCCGTGGGCGGACCTTAGGGATGCCTGTTTGAGGGGTGACTTCTTAAAGGGTTACTATCAGTGTGCAGGCTTGCAGTTGGAGTGAGTATTTTTCCTATGTTTCATATCAATAAAAATGTATTGGCGGCAACAACAGAATCTCACGCGCTTTGAGGTTAAAAGTACCAGCAGCTTTCTAAGTTCAGAAAAAACGAGTAACTGGATAGCTTCTGTGGAACATTCAGATTGATATTTGGATGGAAAATGATTAATTATTATCAGCATTACATGACTTTTTATGGTGCGAATCACTCGTTTTACAAAAACCTTGTACAGTTAAATTACATCCTTTTAAAATTAAATTAATGATGATTCATTTGTGCTATTGGAAGCAAAATAACAAACTTTATTAAGTCGAATCGTTGAGTCACCCACTTCTTCACGATAAGTAAGAATTGGTACTGTGCAAAACAGTGCCATTACACTGAATGTTGCTAATTTATTAAATCAGAGACATGTCTGACTAAGATTGACATGTGTCACCCTTAACAGGGTATAATGACTGGTCGACAAATAAGTTGTTGTTGCATTGGTGTAGGTCGTATATCGTTTAGCCTGCTAATCTTTAAGGATTGAATTATAATTTATTTGCCTTATAGACCAGGACGAATCTGTTGTAATGTCGCAGTTCTTGGATGTAAGAGGGGGCAAGCTAATTTTTGCTGGTATACCTTCAGTATAACTCGCATAATAAAAGTGTAGATCCCAATATTGCAAAAATGTTTAAAAAATTTTTAAAAATACCAATTTTATCTGAGTTTTTTACTTATATCTTGGAATCTATGCATTTTAGAAGATTATTGAAGAGGAAAAAAAGTTTTAGAATTGAATTTAGCACAATATACTGCAAGTTAAAAATGTTTAAATTTATTACCGATGTTGAAAAATAGCAATAGTTGACGAAAAAAAGGCAAAATATTCAAGTTTTTTGGATGATTTTTAAAAAATATTTTAATTGCTCCGAGGGCATTCTAATTTTTGGTAAAAAAAACTTTAGAGTATAATAAAACAATACACCAAATTTCATTAAAATTGGCTCAATAGTTTTCGCAAAATAATTTTTTGAAAATAAATTTGAAAAATTGTTTTCGAATTTTCAAAATGTTGTACAGCCTCAAATAAAGCATCTAGGTACTTGAAAATTTTTTCACATAGAAAAGACCGCGAGACCTTTCAAATGGTTTTTGAAATCGGTTGATTGAAATTAACACTCTTTTTTTTTAAAAACAATTGGATTACATTTATCAATTTGCGATATATGTAGTTTTTTTCAAAAATTATAATTTTAAAGTAATCGGAAATAAGCTTTTTTAGTTAAATTCCGCTTATTGATTCTCGAGTTATAAGCGGTCAAAGTTTATCGGCATTTACCGTTAATTTATAAACAATTTACCAATAATCTTTGATCCAGTGGCTTCGTTTTTCCGAGTTTTAAGCTGGAAAAAAATTTCATATCTATAACTTATCGGCAACATAGATAAATCAGCGGAAAAGCTGTCGCTCGCACGCGCGAAAAGTGACTCAAAACATGAAAAGTGGGGGAGGGGGCTTTCGCTCCGAGACTGAATTTGGAGATCCAAAAGTGCGAAGGTACGAAAAAAATTGCATTATCTCGGCTTCTAATGGACCAATTTTGATCTTTTTGTTTTTAATCCGATGTCTCGCGAGCCAAGGAATTCGAATATCGTAATGCCAACTGTCTAATTTGCACATATTTTGTTATAAACAAAGTTTATTATTTATGCATTAAATATACTTTTTACATATTTTACCATATGCTATTCATTTTTTCAATAAAAAAATTTGTTTACGTATTCAACACTGAATATGAATACATTTAGTTATAATTATTACAATTAGTTAAATAATTTTTGTTTAAACATAGTTTTTTTTATTTGAAAATTAATTTTTTTGTTAAATACAGATAAAATTAAGAAAAAATAGTACTTTAAAATTATAATTTTTGAAAGAAACTAAATTTCAAATTGACAAATGTAATCTAATTGTTTAAAAACAAAAAAAAAAGTGTTAACTTTAAAAATTTACTTTGGCCGTCCTAATCAACCGATTTCAATTTTTCAAAAACCATTTAAAAGGTTGGGTGGTCTTTTCTGTGTGAAAAAAATTTCAAGTATCTAGATGCTTTATCTGAGGCTGTACAACATTTTGAAAATTCGAAACATTTTTTTCAAGAAATTATTTTCCTAAAACTATCCAACCGATTTTAATAAAATTTGGTGTGTTGTTTTATTATACTCTAAAGTTTTTTTTACCAAAATTAGAATGCCCTCGGAGTAATCAAAATATTTTTAAAAAATTATTCAAAAAACTTTTGCCTTTTTCTCATGTGATCTAGTGATCTACACTTTTATTATGTGAGTTGTACTGAAGGTAATTCAGAAAAAACGGAAAACTTTTTTTCATAATTCAAATTGAAATGTCTGAAATATTCTAATGGGCCGTCACCGTAAGATAGCCTGTATTTACTGTTTTCATCTTTGTCTTGACAGTCATAGAGAGGTCAACGTGCTAATTTTTAGACTCGTTTACTATTAAACATCCAAAACGCCGTAGACTTTGCATAATTCCAAGTATCTTTAAATTACAGTTGTAAATAAATATCCATTAAATACCCCGTCAGTAATTACTGTAATAGTCATTAAAATAAATTAATTTTAATTGTTTTTAACGCGCTGGTCTGCAATTTGGAAGATTTTACTATGGTACTAGCGTTATTAGGATTTTTTTTGCCAAGGCTAGTTGCTGGTGGAATAATTAACGTTCGTGGGTAGCGGTGGTTTAGTTAACAGTTAAAATTTTGTTTGTTTGTAAAACTTGTCCCGCAACGGTAATAATTTGGTATTTTGTGTCAATTTAATTGTCTTCTTTCGTGCAAGGACGAATGATGGTAAACAGAGGCTCATTACTCATCGTTGTAACCGGAATATGTACATTAATTTGAAATAAATTACTTAGTATTACTTTACATTGACTTATTTGCTATTTTAAAAAAATAAGAGTTTTTTTACTGTGTCGAGAAAACACAATTTTACTGAAATGCTGTGGGATATAGAGTTCAGTTAGTGTCGTCACTATCAGTGGTTTCATCAGTCGCCAATCGTCAAAGAAATAAGTTAGGGCGCGAATTTTTGCACTGTAAAACGCGTTTTTAATAATTTTGTCCAACAGTAACAGTTTTGACTAACATGAAATCACTAAAATTAACAAAAAACAAGTAGTAGGAGAGGTAAAGTCAGCGCAGTATTTATAAAACGAGCAGTAGTAGAGTTAGCGTCAGCAAACGCAGAATAGAGCTATTAGTTTGTTTTAAAGCTAATTCAAATAAATTCAAAACATATTCCTAAAATCCTATCAAATGAAATGAAACAATTTTTTCTGACATAAAAAAGTAGGTATGCAAAAAATATCTATTATTGAATTATACCAGCTAGTAATATACAGGGTGATCCATTAACGGTATGGAGTGGCTGTATATAGGAAATTAGTTTCCTAGGTGCTACGATTATGGGATAAAAAATCTATTAACAAATACGCCCAAAAGAAATAATTGATTTAAAATATTTTCAAGTTCGTAACCTCCCCGCTAGACGGCGCAACTGCTATAGTGTTACAAAAAATTGTAATTTTTTCGAAATTTCGCTCATATAACCCAAGTTGAAAATGCACTTTTTATATACACTGTTAAACCATTCATAAGTTTTGTTTGAACTTTTTTGTTATTACCATAGCAACGCCAATATAAAGGACGCCATGTTGAAATTAAATTGTCATAACTTCTAAATGCTTTAATCGATTTCAAGAAACGACGGATCAATTTAAAGAACTATTAATAAAATTTATTTTTTTGATATGGGAATAAAAATATTAGTTATGTAATTTACTAAAAAAATTAAATGCAACGATATATATGTTTTTTTTTCATGGCTTATTTAATCTTCCAAAGAAATATCTATTTATTCTTGTAGTTCAGTTACTCGGGATTTTTACCTCCGAATTCTTTATAACTGAACCGACTGACGTGAAATTTTGACTGAATGTGGGGAATGACTCAAAGAACAAAACTTATGTAGTGCCGAAGTGTGCTTTTGCTCTGGGGGTGGTTCCCACCCCTTCTTGGGGTGGAAATTTTTACGCCCAAAATAACCACAGGAATCGATATAGGAGTCAATTTTAAGTAATAAATGTTATATACAGTTTTTTGGATAATCCAATACTTTCCGAGTAATTCGTCATTGAAAATGTTGATTTTTACTGAAAAAGTGCTTGTTTTCGGACTGTTTTTGCAAATAACTTTGAAACCATTGGATTTAACGAAAAAGTTGTAATGAACAAAAAGAAAGGTAATAAAAAACAAATCTAATGACATTATTTTGTTTTTCTCTAATTGCAATATAAACCGAGTTATGGATTTATAAACATTATTATATGTTAGCTAAAAACTAAATTGGAACCAGTTAACGTTAAATAACGTCAAAACCATAAATATTAGGAAAAAAACTATTTGAACCTTTTTTAAAGTACTTTAAAATGAGCTGTTTTAAAAGTTTTTAGAATCTAAATTAACGGAAATATGATCGAAATAACATGATAGTCTCATTTTTTTTAAGAAAAAATTAATAAACAATGCGGTGCCTTTGGCGACAGAATTAAAATTAAATGCAATCCATTTACAGATTTCTTCATTTATGTTCTAAGAATATGTTCTGGGTGTTTGGCTCACTTACAAAGCATGATTTCGAAAAAAACTTAATTTTTTAAAATGTTAATTTTTCGATTTTTACGCTGTAACTTAAAAATTAAAGGGTGTACGAAAAAAATACAAGAGTAAAAAACTTTTACTTTATTTTTGCTGAAGATTTGTTTTTATTTTTTATTCTTCTAAAATTAATATTAATCGAGATATCGCCATTTTAAGTTATCATACGAATGAGAGAACCACCCTTTTCGAGCCCTTTAAACCCTTCAAACTTAAAAATGAAGGGCTTAAAAAAGATCAACTCAACAGTTCACGTAGCCCTTACAATTCTCTGCAAAATGAGGGTTTGTGCGATTAAAAGTCTTAAAAAGTAAGAAAGTTATCGTCAAAAAAATAAACACGTGTATAGGTGATAATTTTAGGAAAATTTAGGTCAAACAAGAATTTAGATCTTTTTTGTATATATACGTATTTAGTATGTGTATATTCGAATAAACCAGTACTATAACTACTATATTGTAACTACTATTTAATACGAATGCACATTTAAAATGTTTCTACTCTTTCAAAGATATTTTTTCATTTTATTTTCGAAAGGGGTAAGGGTTGAAAAGTTGCAATCGATGAAAAAGATTTTTTAATCAAGAAATAAATTTTAATTTGATAAAAATGCATGATTAAATCGTTTCAAGTTGAAAAAAAAAATTGATATTATTTTCATCCAAAGGGGTGGGTTTTAAAGGTTTTTCCGGGTTGAAAATTTGGGATACATTAAGTTTCATGTTAGGTAGTACATGAAATTACTCATACTGCACAAATAAAAAAGATTTGGTTACATAAAATGCTTAAATTTGTATTTTTTTCTTTATTTCCAATAAGGGGTGGTTTTCACCCCTCAAGAACAAAAAGCACGCGCACCTAGCGCATATATAAGTTTTGAATTGGGGGGTAAGATGAGCCTAATTCTAAATTTTTAGAAAAATCGATGCAGTTATAAAAAATTCGGAGGTATTACTATATTTTCAGCTACAGTAACTGGGCTATTGTTGTTCTAACATCAGCTTTGACAAAGATCAACATGTAAATATGGCCAGGGTAGGTAGATCCTCGTTATTTCTACATTTTGCAGATTGCATTTTGAAGTGGCCTAAATTTATGGCATCAAAGAACTTTGTTGTGTTTAAAATAAAAATATTTTCCTTACCGTATGCCTCCGTACTGGACAAAATAATTGTTTTGCAGAAGAACACCACATTCCGATCAGACTCTGACCTTGAAACTCGAAGGAACCTCGTTAGACCTGGGCACGCCACCGAGACTGTGCTATCCTCTCGTCATATTCCTCTTTAGGAACGACACAGAAGACGGCGTCCATCCAGACGAGACGGTAAGGATATAACTCGACGGACCGCCTCTCCTTTTTAAAACACTCGGTATTGCAGGTCGCCTTGATAAACGTGGTGCACATCAAGGACACCGTCTGCACGCTGCCCACCAGTATTTTGGCCCAGTACCTCAAGCAGGCCAACGGCCAATTATCTTGTCTCAAAGTGAGTATAAACAAATGGGATTTATTGGAACGAGTCATGTTAAATTTTGTCGTGTTTACTCGATATGGTAATAGTGATATGCATTGCGAAAAGTTTTCCAGTTCTTGGTTGTTTGCGAAACATCCAGTATTTTTCCAAATCGGCGGTTGCACTGATACCGACATGTCTTAGCAGTTTTTTTAATAACATGAAGTGGTACAAGTTTTACTTTATAAACAAATAAATATTGACAATATTGTAGAAAAATTTCCATGATAGGAAACGTTTCTGTTTAGCGACTTCGTGGAACAATTTTCACATACACATGTTCTAAAACAAAACATTAATGAAATGGTTTTTGTTTGCCTCTGAGCAAAAGTTTTTATTCCTCTAAAATTAATATTCTTTGAACTTCTTTGCCAATGACTATTTAAAACAAACCTGTTATTTTCATTATCTACATACAGTTCAACAAAAATAATGTCCCTTCTTCTGTTTCGAAATTCCTGTGCGTTTCCGAGTTATTTTGATTTTTAGTGTTTGTTGTGGTACTAAATTAAGTACATAATTTATTTATTATCAATTATCGGCTAAATATTTAATTCTTTCAACGAAACCTACCTAAATATGGTTTGTTAAGGATTCTAAAAAGCCGAAATCTCTTATTCTTTATCTCTTTCCAATGTAGTCATAATAAATATTTATTATATTCCAATATACCCAAATACAAGACTTTTATTAGTTGAAATCTGTTACATTACATACATACAATACATTATTGTGCAGTTGCCAAAAACTTTTAAAGAAGTTGTTAATTAAATATTGTTGTAAATTCACAAAATTTCTCCATAAACATTAACATCAATGTTTATTCAATGTTTTTTTTTTATAATTTAGTTGCAGTACATTAGTATTTACGCAGCACATAATAAATAAGGATTGTTAAAATTAGGGTACTAAACAGAGTTCATAGTTTATAGGAACTTTTCTTTTTAAAAACATGTGTTCTATCTCCTGTTAAAGTTTGTCTACGAAAAACTGACTCACCCTGTATACATATTTTACGTTAAAAATCTTAGGAACAAACTATTTTCTGTATAAATTTCCTCTATACCAATAATCCAGTTATTTTTAATTGTTTTTTTGGGAAATTCAGCAGTAATCTGAAATATTGTAAAACTAATGTACCTATATTTCATATTACCACTATTGCCTGGAATGTCTGGTGTTACATTTTGCTTTTTATTTGTTTTATTGTCACTGCTCTCTTACTTCCATACATTGTTATTGTTTGTATATTTTTTATTTGATCACCCAGTGGCGGCTCGTCGGGGTGGGCAGGGTGGTCAGTGCCCACCCTGAAATTTTCAAAAGAATAAACAAAAATTTGTGTATATATTTATCAAAGTGATTTGACAATTCTTATAAAATTAAATCTAAAATGCGTTACCTCCTTTGAAACTTCCCCTACCAAATTTTAAAATTATATTTTAATCATGATCTCTGCAGCAACCAACATAACATTCAGGCTAGCCCGTGGCCGCTGAATTAAACAACGCCGTACCCCAACCATACCTTGCATGCTTATACGCACCTAGGACTAGACAGTATAATCGGAAACGTAAGTCGTTCACTAATTTAGAATATTTGGCCCAAGTCGGGCGAGCCCGCACACAGCTCGCATATACCCATTGAGCACCCATCGAGTGTTGTATCGACCACCTAAGACTTTTCACCAGTGGTTGGAAATATATATACGTATATTTATTTGCCGTAATTTTGTTCTTTAAATGAATTTTTAAATATTAGAACAATTTTTCCCTGCAAAGGTATTCCAGAAAACAAATTTTAGTAAACGAAATAATAAACAGTTTTATAATAATTTGTAAATCGCGTAAAAAAATAAATATCTATGGTTAAATGTTGAATGTTCTATGATAATTATAATTATTAAGGTTATTTTAACTCGTTACTGTTAAACTGAATTAAAAGTGATTGCTGAGAAATTTTCAATATTTGAATAGATTCTAGTTTGTAAACATGGGAGTGATGTAAATTATTTTTGGGATGATCTCGGCAGCAACCAACATGACATTCGGGCCAGCCCGTGGCCGCTGAATTAAACAACGCCGTACGTTGCCTGCTTATACGTAGGGCTAGGGAGTATCATGGGGCTAGGACTAGAGAGTAATCGGAAACGTAAGTCGTTCACTAATTTAGAATATCTAGCCCAAGTCGGGCGAGCCCGACACAGCCCGCACCCGCATACTCATCGAGTGTTATATCGGCCAGCTAAGGCTTTTCGCCAGCCAGCCAGCAGCGGTTGGAAATATATGTATATTTATGTGCTGTAATTTTGTTCTTTAAATGAATTTTTGAACATTAAAACAATATTTCCCTGCAAAGGTATTCCAGAAAACAAATATTAGTAAACGAAGTAATAAACCGTTTTATAATAATTTGTAAATCGCGTTAAAAAATAAATATCTATGATATGTTGAATGTTCTTTGACAATTATATTTATTAAGGTTATTTTGAAGCGTTACTGTTAAACTAAATTAAGAGTGATTACTGAAAAATGTTCAATATTTTAATAGATTCGAGTTTGTAAATATGGAAGTGATATAAATTATTTTTTAGGACATTTAAATTCGATACATATTTATTTATTTTTTCAAATAATAAACTGTTCGATTAAAAAAAATAGCTTCTATTTAATATATTTTTTTTATTTCAATCAGATTTTTAATAAATTATCATTTGAATATACATAATTGAATTACCTAAAATAACTCTACTCTCCGGGCAAGCCCTTCGATTTCACTCGTATATTCTTCGGGTACTTACGTGTAATCTGCGGTTTGATGTTAGTTTTATTTCATAGATTAGGAAGGTAGAGATTTGTTATTCCTTGTACTTCACGACTTTGGTTGTTTGTAAGTTCTAGGTTAGGGTTAGTATAGTGGTTTAGGTAAGTTTTTATTGTTTAATAGTTTGGAATAAAGCAAAATGGTAAGCCGAAAATAGCGAATTGGTGAGTAGCAATGGTGACATTATTAATTTTTTATTAAATAAAAAATTTTGCATGTTAACTTTCGATGATAAATTATTATTTATTTCAAGATTAAAACCTACGCCTGACATGAAAAATTTAATAAATAAAAACAATTGCGGAAGCAACAGATCATTTAGTAAAAATTGGTACAATAAATATGAGTGGTTAAAAGGTAATGAAACCAGAAACAAATTATATTGTTGGAATTGCTTACAGTTTAATGAAAAAAGTAAAACTCCATGGAATTATCTAGGATATTCAGATCTGAAAGATATAAATGAATCTTAAAAAAAAACACGAGCGATCGGAGGAGCATACATATTCAACATTAAAATTTAAATTATTAGGAAAACAAAACATTCAAACTTTTCTTGATTCTGCATTTCGTGAGAATATTTTAAACCATAATAAAGTCGTGGACGAAAATAGAAACATTGTAAAACGCCTTATTGATTTGGTTATTTACTTATTTACTTACTTATTTATTTATTTATTTACTTATTAGAATTTTAGTAAAATTTATCGTTAGTAATTTCAGCTATAAAAGTGATAAGAGAATTTTACTATTTGTTTAGAGAATTATATAATTTTTTATATGTCCTTCTATGCCATAATCCTTGCCTTATCCACTATCCCGTCAAGAAATCACTGTGATGACATTCTCGTTTATTCTTGCTGAACTATTAGGTATACTTTTGGAATAACTAATATAATTTTCAGGTATATTTATATTAACTATCTTCATAATTCTTAAGTTTTTTACACTTTCAAAAGTAAATAGACTAACGTAGATTGCAATTATTATATGATATTAAGTTACATGAGAGAAAAATAAATTTTGCCCACCCATCTCAAAAAGTCACGAGCCGCCACTGTGATCACCGATTGCTTTTTTATTGATTGCTGTAATGGGGACTATCCGTAAAATGAATAAATAAATAATTGAACCAATATAAGTGTACCTTGAAACTTTACATGAAGGCCGACCATCGCAATAAAATATTTATTTGTTATCGTCTCCCATGAACTAACGACGAAACGTTGCAGCAACTGTATTTGGCGACCGGTAACCCTGGAGGGTACGAAGAAGGACAGATTCCTTTGGCTGTGGCTGAACCCGTTGAAGGGGGACCGGGTCCAGTGGGCCGTACTCTGGTTTGTCCCACGAACGAGGATTCCACTTTGTGGAACAGCTCCGGAGAGCAGCTGTGCGTGGTTTGTCAGTATTTTCCGCTGTCGAGGGCCCTTCTCCCGTGCAGGTAGGAAAGTTGTTTTTTTTTTAATGCGTTTGCTTGCATTAATACCGCAAAAAATAGGACGTCGAAACTTTCAAGATAGTAAAATAATTCTCAAAAAATTTATATTTTTTTAATTGGCTTTATTACAGTTATTCAGAACTTTGAAATAGCGTTTTTTTTATAATTAAGGAAAAATTTATTTTAAAAGTTTTAATTTCCGTTCTCGTCGAGAATTTTTTCAAATATTGTTTATTGGGGTGGCTCAAAAAAAACGGATATTTTTAAAGCCCCTTCAAAAAATCAGCTCAAAAAAAATTGTTTTAGAGGTCGCTCAAGATTTTTAAAAATTCCAAAATCGTCAAAAAAAAATATTTTTTCGTTGTTTTATCATTTTCTAGGTTGAAAAAAATCTCGATTCTGAAAATTTCAAATCGAGATTTTAATTTCGAAAGGCCACTCATAATTATTATTTTAACTTTAAAAGTAGTGCATCTAAAATGTTTTCGAGCGACCTCTAAAAATAAATATTAACGAACTAAAATTTTTTTATTGAATTTGATGAACAAAAGAATAGAAATAAATCACGAAACACTTAAAAATTAAAAAATTAAATAGGTATTTAATACTCAGAGCGCGGTAGTAAATTTTGCCTCGAGAAATTTTTTAAGTGTCTCTTGATTTATTTATATTCTTTTGTTCATCAAATTTAATAAAAAAAAAATTATTAGTTCGTTGGTATTTATTTTTAGAGGTCGAAAACATTTTAGGTACACTATTTTTAAAGTTAAAATAATTATGACCTTTAGAAATTAAAATATCGATTTGTGAAATTTTCGGAATCAAGATTTTTGTCAACCTAGAAAATGATAAAATAATGAGAAAATACACTAAAAAAAAATTCTATTTTTGACGATTTTTTAAAAATCTTGAGCGACCTCTAAAAAAATTTTTTTTGTGCTGATTTTTTGAGAGGGCTCTTGAATATGACAAACTAACATATTTTCACAACAGACCGAAAAAAAATATTCGTTTTTTTATGGGCCACCCTATTGTTTATATTCCAGCGATATTGGCACATACTATATTATGTAATTAATCCAATTTTAGTCGTACGCTTTTTCTTGTATACTTAAATGTTTAATTTTGCAGTAACAGAAAAATCATTGAAGATTTGTCTTAAATAAATACTTTTACACAATTTTTAGACGGTTTCGACACTGCTAAAATTACAGGGTGTAACTAAAATACTTGCCCAAACTACATTACAAACATAAACTACGTTTATTTCATTAATTTTGAAAACCTGTATCCTGAAAACAAAACGTATATTATTATGTCTATACTACAGTCGTATTAAAGTTTGAACGTAAAAAAATATTAGTAGATTTGCACTTTATGACGGCGAAGAGTATGTAGAATGATATCAAAAAAGCAACTCGAAAGAAATGATGCCAAGTTGGCATTTTCACTCTTTTTACTGTCCATGAAAATCTAGACGACCATCAGAATATTAGTTATTTTATGTTGTAGGCAATTAAATTACCTACAATTTAAGGTACCTAGGGTCATTTTTCACTAATTTGTTGACTGTAAAATAAAGATCGAAGGCGGAAAAATCAGTTTTTGAAAATTTTTATTGTAAAAAGCGATGAATATCGATGAAATTTATGGAAAAGAAAAAGTTATTCGTGATAAAAAGTTCTGAATGGCCTAAAATCCAAAATGAAGTAATCAGATTTCAATTTTTTACAGTCGTATACGAGGTTTGTCGAAAAATGTTAATTTTGCTCTTACTTTTATTTTTTACAATATCTACAATCCTTATTAAGAAAAGTTGATCCTAATAGAAAACTACTATCAGCTATCTAATATTATCCATCTACCATTAAAAACAAACTTTAATAATTTTTGGGTAGAAACATAAATTATCATTTAATTTTGTAAATCATAAAACATTTGTTGTATTGAATTCATTGGTTTGTCAGTGCATTCTAGATTTAATATCAATCTCTAGACGTAAATTATTATCAATTCTAATACAGATAAGAGTTTGTAAAAATAACAAAATCTGTTTTTTAAATGGTAGATGCTAATATTGGATATCTGACCGTAGTTTTCTATTAGGATCAACTTTTCTTAATAACGATTGTCGATGTTGTAAAAAATAGGTACTTTACTCTTGAGCAAAATTTACATTTTTCGACAAACCTCGTATACGACTGAAAAAAATTGAAATCTGATTACTTCATTTTCGGTTTTAGGCCATGCAGAACTTTTTATCAAGAATAACTTTTTTTCATAAAACCAATAATGAAAAAGTTTCCCATATGGTGCTGACTTAATTGGACACACTGTATATAGGTTCTAATTGATCCAAAGAAACGCATCGAAAAGGAAAAATTTCAAATAGTTGAAATTAAGTTGTCCTTGACAACTACCAAAGTGCAAAACAGTGTTAAAAACAAATTGTTCCAGGGTCAAGCAAAAACCGCTCGGGAATTCGCTCTTTTTGCATTAAATAGAGCTTATTTTTACGGTCCTTTAAAAAAAAATGAGAAATCACCTACGCCTCTTTGTTCTCCAGATAACTTTTTTATATAATGTTAATTGTTAATTGGACGTATCAGACCGGGATTTTAGAGAAAAAGAGTTAAACTGTTGTTTACAAAAAGTTATATTTTGATAGTTCATGTAATAAACGCGCTAGCAGCAGTAAAAGTTAACGTTAATGAACGGCCTGCACGGAGCAGGAGCGTCGGGCCCGAGTAAGCGCGTGGAGACCGCCCTCGCGAGATTTTTTACTTGAACGTTTCAAATTCAGGTAAAAAATCTCGCGTGCGACGAGGGCGGCGCCAACGCGCGTGCGCGGGCCCAGCGCTGCTTCCGCGTGCAGGCTGCAGGCCGTTCATTAACGTTAACTTTTACTGCTGCTAGGGTGTTTATTACATGAATATCAATGTAAAACTTTTTGCAAATAAAAGTTTAACCCTTTTTTTAATTGTCTAAAATCCCGCTCCGATACGTCCAACAGCTAATTAAGAATTAACGTTATAAAAAAGTCATCTGGAGAACAAAGAGGCGAAGGTGATTTTTTTTAAAGTACCGTAAAAATAAGCTCTTTTTAATGCAAAAAGAGCGAATTCCCGAGCGGCTTTTGCTTGACCCTGAAACAATATATTTTTTTAAATTCTCAGTATTTATGATCTAATTAAAAACATATACGTTTGAGCGAGGATTTCAGTTACAACCCTTATAATTTCTGCCCTAATAAAACACATTTCCTCAGCGAGAACAATTTCAGACTTGCGTGTTTCAATTTTTAGACACACGTGCATCTGCGCGAGCTGCTTCGACAAACTGGACCGCTGCCCGATGTGCAGGGGCCCCATAAAGAGCTACTTCTGCATCAGGGGCGAGGAGTACATGCCCATACAGCCGGGCCCCAAGACGCAGAGCTCCCACGGCCCCATCTACAACTGGCTGCACAGCTGGGACGACCGCTTGACGGACTTCCTCGGATTCCAGCGATAACCGCTTAACCTTAGCTATTTATTGAATGTGACTTCCTGATATAACTAGTGATGCGAAATTATTTATCAGTCGTTGTCTGTTGGGCGCCGCCGATATGTATTCCATGGAATTAAATATACCTCGATGACGTAGCATGATTTTTTTATTGTAGTAATTGTTTCGTCCAAAAGAATCGCATTGAAAGAGTTCTCGTTTAGCGTAGCATCACTTAAACGTAAATTTAGTATTAAACTTAGGTTGTGAGGTGTGTAAGTAAGATACGGTTATAAATTTCTTATCATTTATGTAAAAATCTGTACATTTCTGTTGTAAATGCAATAATATTTATATAGCTTGTAAGCGAATAGTCAATATCGTACACGTAGAGTTAAATTTAGAGTATATTTTAGTAATTATCTGACTAAGCCTGTGATAATATATGATTCAATTAAATATTATTTATATATAAAGCGTTGTTTCACTTGATCTTGTGAAAAGGCAAAATTGGGAAAAAAATACCTCAGTGGTCCTTATCGGGGCCACTTTTACTTACCATTCGTATAAATGATTCTGACGATGAACTGGATTTTTTTAATATTCTTTTCATTGTCATACCTCGCCGCTGAACATGCTAATATAATCTCTTTTACGGGAAGTGTATAAGAGATTTATCATCTATTAAGAGCAAATAGGCAACTAGCAATACATTTTCATGAATTTTATTACACAGTTTGTCTAAATATGAATTAACGCACAAATAACAGACTTTCCTCTATTCTAGCAGATTTTCTATAAAATGGAGTTAGTTTGAAACTAAAATTACTTTTTTGTGCAATGAAATATGTCGCTTGTTCAAAAGCAAAATTGCAAACTTCTTTACTATAAAAAAGTATTGCTGGTTGCCTATTTGCTAATAAAACCTCTTAATTGTCAAGCCAAAATGTGACTGTTAAAGCCATCTAGTAGTCGGGTACAAAAAGGTAAAACCCAATGCGCTGTATATTTTGGTTTGCGGATGGACTACATAAATGTAGATCCCTCCACAGAAATATAGCTTCACTACAGACAACTCTTGAAATAGGACAGGCGGTTTTAAATCTCCGAATTGCCGATAGAGTACACCACCAGCAGAATTTTAGGAAGATTCAAATGCAGCGGCCGATATTCCTAGACAACGCTTACGCGTATCCTAGCAACGCTAAAATAATAGTTTGGCAATGTTGTCACGCGTATGCACGGATTTATTTTGTACACCTTTTTATCAATGTTAGTCCTGTAGCCAGGGGGGTCCCACTTGCCCCCTTGTTATTTGACCCATTTTAAGAAGAAAATGTCTTGCAATTTTTTTGTTAAACGCATAGTTTTCGAGATAAATGCCGTTAAAAACTCGAAAAATGTAATTTTTGCGATTTTCAATTGTTAATAACTTTTGATTGAATAGGTATTTTGTAATTCTGATGACGGCGTTTGAAAGTTCACGTTTAATGCTACAAATTATGAGTAATTGCAGTGTGAAAATTTGTTTTTTCCACTGTTATTCGAAGCTAAAACAAATAGCGATTGAGCGTTCAGAAGGGTGCGCCGCCATGTGTCTAAGAGAGCGGTTGCCTTCTTACAGGCGTTTAATACACGATCTTGACGCGTACTCTTCATTTCTAGACCAAAGAAACGATGAAAACTGAACGAAACATTAACAATTTAACGAAAATTTGCAATATTACAATAATTGAAATTATTATACAAGTTTATAAAATAATAATTATAAAAACACCTAAATTATACGATGTTACGCTTTTAATACGAGTATAAACGTTTTTATTATCGTTTATAAATAAAACTAATATAATTTCGCTATTTTTTTTCAAATAAATCGTATAATAATGTTTACAAAGCAAATTAGAATTCAAACATTATATCTTTGATATTTCAAATTTTCCCCGCCTTTTTAATGCATTTTGTTTTAAACGATTTTCATTTATTTTTAAAATTTGTTTGTAGTCGCGCTTCAAAATTGCACTGAAGATGTAGAATTATTAACGTTCATGTTACAAGATGAATAGCTTAATTAAATCAGATCTTTGCATTATTTGTCAAAAAAAATTTAATTTTAATTATTGTATAATAATGCAAATTTTTATTAAATTGTTAATGTTTCGTTCAAAAAATCAATATTTTATTTATTTTTTATTTTTTCATACATTTTATATAGTTATGGATTTTGTATATTGATTAAAGGATTAATTATTTTATAAAATTATTATTAATATATTTATTTATAATTATTATAAAAATATATAAAATATTTCCATAGATACTGACAGTAGAAATTTTTTTTACAATTCATTATAAATTTCAACTTCAATTTGATTGTTGAGGGGGTTACATTAATTTTGAAGGGTTAAAATAATTTTGACAACATTTTTTTATTGAGAACTATTGTGTAAAACATTTCAAATAGAAAAAGAATGCAAAAAAAATGTTTTCAAAAAATTCATTTTTCGGGAGATAGGGGGTGGTTTTACAAGGGTTGAAATAATCCAGAAGTATTGTATATATAAAGCAGGGGTTCTCAATCTTTTTCAAAGACTGTACCCCTTAATGAAAAATGAAAATTTTGCGTACCCCCTTGTTATAGGGGGGGGGGGGGGTGTTGGGGGGGGTTACATCACAAACACACAAACACACAAACACAATATATTTCGTAATATATTTGAAATGCATTACAAAAAATTAATGAGAAGTAGAGGTTTTAAAATCTTATGAGCTTTGACCTTCATATGCGCAGAAACATAATTCCGACCGTCGCCTAAATTATTCTACGTCCTAAAAACATTACACCTATTATTCGCAGTCTCTCTCGAGCTCTAGCGTAAACAAGCCTTTGATCCGATTACAAATATCATAATAAAATGCCCTATTCTTTATTATTTTAATTTAAACAATAAAAATATATTTAACGAACGTTCGCCAGTTGACTTTATTGATGCCCGAGCGCCTTAGTTCATGTCATGTTCATTCATGTTCATGCACATGGTCTAGTTCTGAGTCAATGTTTTCACAACGTGCTTATTAGAAGAATTATGGGGATACGCCACGCCTTTCGCGCATTTCGCGGCTCATGAGATATTAAAAGACCTCTTTCACACAAGTATTCAATTAGATTCCAGTATTAAATTATAACCTTGCGCGATTACGAAACGGAAAGAAATAAAAGTGGTTTAATTTTTCACTAACGTGCCCCGCGTACCCTTTTGAGGACCCCTGATATAAAATATCCAATTTGACATTGTCAGTTTTTCCTGGTTGAGAGGCAGATCCCCCACCACCACTCCCTGAAGGGCTATTGCCGCTTACCCTTACCATTGTATAAGTAAATATTTACTTATACAATGCCCTTACTTTGATGGGCTCTGGATTGATCAATTATGGGCAAATTCAATTAAAATTAACAGGACATAAAGTTTAAACCTTCATTTACAAAATGTTAAAATTTCAGGTCTTAATGTTTAAGTATAACAAATTGCTCTGTGATTTTTTTTTAAATTGCTAACTCCGGACCTATTGGTCGTAGAAACTTTTTTTTTCAATTTGTAGGTTTTTTACGAGCTTTCGAATGGTGTATATAACTTCTTTCAAAAGTTAAAAACTGCGGAGTTATTTGTTTATTAGGGAAAAAAGTCCTTCTATTTGGTAACAATTATGTACAACTAAATTTGAAAAAAATATTTTTTTTTAACTAGAGGATACTTGGTGTCCCTCCGAAGAAAATGAGCCCAAAAAGAATGTTTTAGTTATAACCCTGCCCCCGGAATAGTCATTTCAAAATGGGTCTTTTTTTTTTTGCAAAAATGGGATAAATAAACAGAATTTTGCAAAAACTATTTGACCGATCAAGCCCATCTTTTGCATATCTCTTAAGGATATATAAAAACTCACATTTTGGGAAAGTTTGGTAAGATTTTATTAATTTTTTAAAAAGTTATTAACAATTAAAGAAATAGCACTTTTTCCGTTTAATTGTGCAATACCTTTTTTGTTTATAAAGCAATTTTAATTTATAAAGTCTCATTTTAAAGACGAATTTCTCTAGATCAAATCGTCTGTTGAACTTTTTTGCTAAGATTAATAGTTTTTTTTGCAACAACGCGTAGAACGAAAAATGACAAATTTTTGACCTATTTGTTGATAAAAAACAATGACGCTATACTTTTTTCATAACCCATTTGATGAGACGCCTCTTGTATTGTTCAGTGCGAACAGCCGAGCTGAGCGGACGTGCTTGTTTGTGAGGTGAAGTGATTGCAACGAGCAAAATCTACCTGCCTTTATTAAGGCTACCTGGAAAGAATCCCTTTCTTTCCTTTTAATCACCGACCTAATCCCCGGCTAAGCATAGAGGCCGTCGGCATCTTTGTTCAGGTACCTGTCCCGGGGTTATGCCCAGGTAAGTTTTAACTTATTTATCAGTTATTTGCATTACTTTAAAATACATTTCTTTAAAATTGCGACCCCCGACAAACAATATACCAGACAGACAAATACACCAAAAGACACGTACGCCCCCGTAAGGGGGCATCCCCACACGACTAACACTTACACACCCACCCACCCACACACACACGAAGAAGCAATCCTACAAG